GCCACTGTAGTCAGTGGCCTGGACAACAAAGTGAGACCCTGCCTCTTTAAAAAAAAAAAAAATGCATAAAACATACTACATTTCCTGAAACAGGAGCAAAACCAGAAAATGTCTACTTTTAATTAACCAAATATTGGTTATACAGTGTAGGGTTCTGATTTCTGGCTTCTGGTATATAATATGTACTTTACCATTGATAAAATGTTTTAAAATTCCCTACATAACAATCATATTTTAGGAAAAAACATGGATTTGGGTATGTGATGTAGTGCTAGAATCCTTAACAAATTGTAAGTCATAGATTTGTGTAACCTACAATCTCTCCTGACCTCAGAATTCCTAAAATTGAGGTAGATAAAGAACAAGTCCCAACAGGACAGACATTTCTATGAAGAGTTGCCTTCAGAAATGAGTATGAGTCACAGAAAACTCAGTCTCTATTAGTAATGTGTATCCTGCTTTGTTCCAAAAAAAAAAGTTTTAAAGAGTCAGTGAGACATACAAGGTAAGTTAGGTGAAAAGGAGAAAGAAAAGCGGAAACACCAATATGTGAATCCTAAATCCTTGGTAAGACCAAGCCATAAATCTGGTCCCGTACACAGGTCTTCGTAAGTTAAATCAGTGTCTAGGTTAAAAAAGGATAATTGCTATGAAATGCAGATATCCTTTATAATAAAACCAGAATCTTTCCCAAGATTCTTAAAATGATACAGTGAACAACAACTAGAGTTTGTAAAGAGGGGGACATACATACTCAGGTAAATATGATGGGTTCTTCAGCTAGCACAATGGCCAATAAAATTGAATTTTTACTATTAATAGCTCCACGCCTTATTGGGGATTGAATAAGAGAAGCAAAACAGTCATTATGCTGGGTATGTATAGGGTCGGTATCTTTTAGAAACAGGAATCTAAGAGGGGCATATGTCTGAATAGATGGCTACACATTTGCTCAAGAATAAGCAAAGAAAAGGCCGGGCGCGGTGGCTCACGCCTATAATCCTAGCTCTCTGGGAGGCCGCGGCGGGCGGATCATTTGAGCTCAGGAGTTCGAAACCAGCCTGAGCAAGAGCGAGACCCCCGTCTCTACTAAAAATAGAAAGAAATTAATCGGACAACTAGAAA